GACGAGAAAGGTTACTGCTCGTTAGGCACCAGCGTAGACTGCGCTCGGTCGGCTGTTAGTCATTCCAAACGTATCGTAGGTAAATTTCTGAAAATCTCGAACGCTCACGTCTCTCTTGATCGATGGAATCTACAAAGAAAGTTGAATTTTTACAGCATTAGTCAATAAGCACATGCCCAGGACCTTCGGTGACGCTCTCATCCATGTCAGCCATCTGGATTTCGCCGTGGAGCATCACAAGCCGTTGCCGGTCCACCCGGTGAAGGCGCCCTCTAAGGCCGAACAAGATATCGGCAGGCACATCGCCGAGAACCTGGTGGTGGACGGCGCCACGTTGCAGCTGGGTATCGGCAGCATACCCGACGCTGTGCTGTCGCTGCTGGGCAACCACAAGGATCTTGGAGTTCACAGCGAGATGTTCAGCGACGGTGTGGTGGATCTCGTGAACAAGGGCTGCATCACGAATAATCAGAAGACGATGCACCGCGGTCGTATCGTTGGGTCGTTTTGCGTGGGCTCGGAGAAACTCTACGAATTCATGGATAACAATCCTTTCATAGGTCAGAATTTGTATCCCGTTTCAAGTTATCAATGTTTTTCAGAAATTTCAAAACATTTGTTTGACGATTTTTTTTTCTGTTACAGAAATGTTGGTTGTGGATTACGTTAATGATCCCAGAATAGTCGCCAAGCAGCCTAAGATGACGGCCATTAACTCGTGTATCGAGGTGGACATCACTGGGCAGATCTGCTCGGACAGTATTGGTACGAGAATGTATTCCGGTTTCGGTGGACAACTGGATTTCATCACGGGCGCGTCAATGAGCGAGGATCGGCAAGGAAAGCCGATCATAGCGCTTCAATCTGTCACCGCTAAAGGCCAGAGCAAAATACAACCGGTTCTAACATCGGGTAAGCTGATTAAAATCCTTTGTTCTATAAAAGACAATGTAAAAATAATTCTGTCAATTTTTAAGCGAAAAAAATTAATGTGATACTAAGAATCGAAGCGCAGTTGTTGGGATGCAACAAATTTTTATTACCGAATAATAAAACCAGATAATAAAAATTTACTACGCTCTAACATCTGCGCTTTGGTTATAATTTTTTTTCTATTGATTCTTTCGAAAGAATTAATACCTTTCGCAATTTTTTTTATCGAGTTTTTTGATGTCTCGAAAAAGGAAAGTTTTTATTTGAATCTGTAATTCAAAATAATGTAACTCTAGTGCAAAATTATAAAATATATATTCATATTGTCGATTAAAACGCGAACTCATATTTAATCTAACTTTGGATTCATAATTTACTTCTTATTGCGTACGAAGTGAAATTATAATTGCTGAAATCATTGCTTTATCACGCCATTTCTTCAGGTGCTGGAGTGGTGACTAACAGAGCAGTGGTGCGATACGTCGTGACGGAACAAGGAATCGCCAGCCTGTTCGGCAAGAGTCTTCAACAACGAGCGTACGAGCTGATCCAGGTCGCCCATCCGGATCACAGAGAGGCGCTCGAGAAAGCAGCGTTCGAACGCTTGAAAGTGATGCCTGCGCCATAAATCGAAGACACGCGAAACGGAAAAGTCTCATTTAATAGCATTTTACAAGCGGTCGTCCGCGCGCGTTAGCTGCGCGCAATAGACAACCGTCACGAAGTGTCTTCTTGTACGATGTCCGCGCTCTCTTGCCGGAAGATAAACTCTCTTGCCATTGGCTTCCAAGAATAAGAGAGTGACGCACTAGACCGAAAATCTAATACGTTAAATTGTAACATTATATATGTAAGAATCCGCAACGGTAAATATGCATGATCGCGCTCGTTTCCATATACATAGATAATACTTATTTAAACGTGTTTTATATCACGAAGTGACGTGTTCACGCGCAACTGAAACAAGATTCAAATAAAAAAACGGTGCTTGCCAGTGCTGTTTCCGAGATGTAAACAGTTTTTTATATTAAATTTGTTAATGTTCCTTTGTATAATTTCCTTTGTTACCATTATATTAAAATCGAAATAGCAACATGCAGGAAGAAATATATAAGATGAGAACGCTGACATCATTGGTGTTTTATTGTACGCGACATCCTCTCGTATATTCTCTTTATCCGAAATAATCGTAGCATTAAATAGTATCAATATATATTTAAATTTATTATAATTATTCTATTTATGTATCTCTGGAAACGGCAAATTAAAGTTGCGCGAAAGTTCAAATCAATAATCCGCCAACTATAAATGCCGTCGAATAATCGAACGCCGCCAATTCAGATGTTCAAATAGTGGTTTGCGGAGATGGCTTCCTTTGACATGTGCGGCTAATGTTTTAGACTAGACCTTTCAGATTATGCATCGTATTAGCTTTCATGTGGTTGCTATACATTCATCGTATCATCAACGGGAACTTGTGAATTTGATTCTATCAGTTTCGGAGCGATGAGAAGATGTTTCGAAATCTGAAATTAGTACTCGGCAAAATTCGGCATGCCAAATCTTTTCATTTATGTGCACGGCGGCATATAGATTTGAGGGAACCTTCTCAACCGTTGAAACGGTGTCCGAAATGGGTTTGCGTGGAAGAAGCGGTGAAAATTATAAATTCAGGTATTTATAATTGTATCATATTTTAGTAGATCGCTGTTTCTATATAAAAATGATAAACTATTCTTTTTCATACATTTCTTAAATAAAATTAAAAAATTATTGGATTAATCGTGAATTAAAAATATATAACATACTTTATTGCCTTAATCTTATAATTTTTATGTATAAACAAAAGGTGAGAAATTTTAGAATTAAGAAAAACAGAAGTTTGTTAAATATTTTCTAGAAAAAATTATAGAAAGTAACATTTTAATGAAGTTAGCGAATGTAAACTGCTATCGTTATTTTGTCATCACGAATGTTATTAGAAGTTTCTTTTATGCACAATGTAATCGTCTTTTTCAGAACATCTGGTCTTCATACAAGGCGGTTCAGCCACGCCGACGGAGCTAGTGCGTGCTATGACCGAGCATGGAGTATGCAACAATTTGCGCGGCGTCAGACTGGTGCATATGAGCCTCGAGGGAGACGCACCGTTCGCCAATCCGGAGTTTGAGAGTACGGTATTCGCAAGGGGCAGCCTCTGTCAAAATGACACGATTGATAATGGCAAAAATGAATAACAGCTTGCGACGATGTTACGTTCAAGAGCACTTCAGATCCATCAGTCTATACGTGGGCACCAATGTGAGGGAGGCGGTGAACGAGGGACGAGCGGACTACATTCCGGTGTTCCTACACGAGGCGCCGAGGTTGTTTTACGAAAAGAGAATCGTGCCGGACATCGCGCTGATTCACGTGAGCATGCCGGACGCCCGTGGATTTTGCTCGCTCGGCGTGAGCGTGGACTGCACCCGTGCCGCAATTTGCACCGCCAAAATCATCATCGGTTTGTACTCCGAATTATTAATGATTATAACTGTAACGATAAGAATAGTTGTAACAGATCATTGTGATTCACGTTGGTCGGTGAATAGTGAGCGAAACAAAATAATAATTATTTAAATTAACAGAAGTAACATATTCTAAGGGAATCCTATAATTGTTTTGCTTTGCTACTTCAAATTATTAATTATACTGAATTAAGAAGATATTTTTTTTTCAGCGCAAGTAAACGAGCACATGCCGAGGTCCTTCGGCGACACAGTGATCCACTCGAGCCACTTCGACTTGGCGGTGAGATACGACTGTCCCTTGCCCTGCGTGGCTTGTCCACCGTCGAACGATCTCGAGCAGGAGATCGGCAAGATAATCGCGCAGAGATTGATCGACGATGGAGCGACGTTACAGCTTGGCATCGGCTGCATCCCCGACGCGGTGCTCTGCGCCCTGGTCAACCACAAGGATCTGGGCATACACTCGGAGGTCATCAGCGACGCGATGGTCGATCTTGTCGAGCACGGCAACATCACGAACAAGTGCAAGATCAAGCACAGAGGACGTATGATCGGTTCCTACGCCATTGGCACGAAACGATTGTACGACTTCTTGCACAATAATCCGTTTGTCGGTAATTATGACCATTGGTTCACTGCAGCGGGTTCGTAGAAGAACGCTCTCACGCTATTTTACAATTATCGTTACGCTAGAACTGTTAGCGATCAATTACGTCAACGATCCCCGAGTGATCTCGATACAGCCGAGGATGACGGCCATAAACTCCTGCATCGAGATGGACCTCACCGGCCAGATCTGCTCGGACAGCTTGGGCTGTAAGATATACTCCGGCTTCGGCGGCCAGTTAGACTTTCTTCGTGGCTCCGCGAAGGGTCAGGATGGTCGTGGAAAAGCTATCGTCGCGTTCCCATCAGTTACCAGTTCAGGAGAGAGTAAAATACAGCCGGTGCTTAAACTCGGTACGAATTCAGATTCGACGAACAATCGCTGCAAGATAATACTTTTAACAATTTAATCGAATATATTTAACAAATTTGGCATCTTGATGAATCTGCAATGTAGGAGCCGGAGTGGTGGCTACAAGGGCTCACGCGCATTATATAGTTACGGAGCACGGAGTGGCGCAGCTTTTCGGCAAAACCCTGCGGCAAAGAGCGAACGCGCTGATTCAAATCGCGCATCCCGATCACAGGGAGTGCCTCGAAAAGGCCGCGTTTGATCGTTTGAAAGCTAACCCAACGAAATATCTGTAATGCTTGTGATGTGTAAATACAAATTCTGTGATAGTAAGTTCACAATACAAAAATCGAAGTATGTGATAATTTAAGTTCCAATCAACTATTAAAATATCACATCTTAAATATTTTCTAAAAGGACACGTTTTATATTGATTTTTCATTGTGCGATGTTTTTATATTAAATAACTTGTACTATTTTTTTTCACGTTTTGTGTCGTGAACATTTTAAATTAAGCATATTTATATAGAAGAATGTAACTTATTTTGATAAAAAAGATAATAATATAACATTGAGTTACACATTATTTTAAATTTAAATAATTCGTTAATTAATTGAACTGAAATATTTTATTCATTGGTATAAGTGGTATTATAAGTATTGTCGTTTATGATACATGAAATACCAAAGTCATATAAAAATATGCTATAATAGGAACATTTCCGTGTATGTACATGCTTAAAATGTCAATATCATATAAGCCAAATTCGATACCTAATTCAATGCCTAAAAGAATTTTATATTTTTCGGCAAAGTTCCTTCTTTCTTTCTCTTCTCGAGATTCTTGTAATACTCCGAAAAATCTACATAAGGCTTGACTCTGGCGTTTCGATCCGTCAAGATTCCTCTGGCGCCAGGTGGATACAAGTCTGATGTCGTTGTTGACGTCTCTGTTGTCGACGTCGATGTGTTAACATTCTCGTCGCTAATGCCGGTGCTGGTGCTCGAGACATCCTCGTTGTCCGGTATGCTGATCGACGCGGTTTGCACCACGGGATTGAATCTGACAGATTGACTGGTCGGACTTTTCAGACTGAGTGTCAGCGGGAAGTTGAAATTCCGCACTAAAAGAGTTATGTCGTCGCGCTTGCCAGTCGTCACGGTGTTCTGTGTGTTGTTCATGTACGCGTCATGGTGGATTCTGACGATTTTGTCGACCACCGCCTGAGCAACGCCGGTCAAGGTTGATTGTACGCGAAACTAAAATTTGCAAAAATACGATCAGATCCTATATTATCAGATATTATCAGATGAGAATTGCTCAGTCGATAATTGTATTTAAGCCAAGGCATCACCTGTTCGACCGCTATCAAGGCTAGTTCTTTATTGACTTGATCAGTATCGGTTGCTTCTTCCAGCGATTTATATAAGCCGCGCGACATAAGCAATAGAAATCTGCAAGATTCATCCAATTCGATGCCACCGCTGATTTCCGGTTCGGCGATGATTGGTTCTGCCACGGAAGCTGCCAGCTTCTCGCACTCTCTGTATCCTCCCTTGACGAGATAGTTGCCGAGGCACCGCGTGTTTTCCTGATTTCCAAGATGAGAACCTGTGGCATCATTTTTATTTACTGAGATTTCTTTAACAAGCTAAATGTCGGCACAAGTAAGCATGAGATACGTCGAACACACCTTGTCTGATCAATTTGGCATCTAAACCTAGTTGAGATAATCGCAGAAGCTCATCCTCGTTCTTTAAGTCATGATCCACGGTTAATTGTACTACTCGCAAAACTTGATTGCTATCTGTTTTGCACAACAATGCCCTACTGTCTCCGACATTCGCGACGTACAGTCTCCCTTTATAAACTAAGGCAACCACAGCACTGGTCCCAGCTGACAGCTCGCAATTCAGCGCATTCAGCTTGTCAACCTGTAATAAAAATAAATTATATAATCCATTTAAAAAATTGTGACTAATTTTGATCACGTGACTAACCAAATCTGGAAATTTTTGATAGGTTTCATAAGAGTTCAGTCCATCGGGTATGTCAAACTGCAGACTAGCACGTTCTGCTAACAGATCGCCAATCGATTCCAAGTATCCTTTTTCAACCGCTATGAATGCCTGTCTATAAAATATACACTTTGTATATAAATAAAAAAAAAAAAATTTACAACTTGAAAATACTCCCTCAAATTACTTATTTAATTATGCGTAAAATTTACATAAAATTCAATTTTTATTTTCTCCATTTTTTTCTACATTGATAAGATTCTTACCGGAGAACTTCTTTCACTTCCTCGTCGGTTGATTTTTCATTCAACTGCCCGAGTAGGATCTCCGCAGCCATTCTTTGCATTGCGAAGTTAGCTGCTTTAGTGCCTTCATGGCCATCGAATACTGCATAAAGGAACGTGGAGTCGTCGTATCTACAGTGAAAACTACGGTCTTCAAATTGATGCTCCTCTTGTCGATATCCATCCTCTCGATAAATCTGATTAGTGGAAAAACCCACTCCTGATACATCAAGCAAAATTTGCCATCACAATAACTTTATTATATAAATTGTCATTAATTTGATACATATATAGAATGTTTCCGAACTAATGATACAACGAAAGATACCGATACATGCAAATACAAGTCGAAAATGTAAAATCAAATTTTTTTCACACAAGACTTTATTTTCGAGAATGATTTTGAATATTCGTCAATAACATTTGGCTATGAAATTATCGAGATTATCGTAATGAAATAAAATGTACCGGATTGTTTGCAAACTGGTAAATCATCCGTCCAATTGTATTGACTATCTTGAAAAGGCATTGAAGCTGGACGTTCCGTTCCCGTAGACATTTTTCTTCTTATTTTACTTTAATTTAATAACAGTCAATAATACTCGACAGATTATTTTGCACGGTCTCGTGAAATAAACAACTCAGTTTGCCACGTTTTCTTAGCGAAGATCGCGAATCAGTTGAGGCAAGTGATGTAAGTGGCTATTTTGCACATGCGTATTGGCCAAAATCTCAGTGACGTATTAAAGTGGCGAGAAAAGAAAATGTTATAAGATTTTTGTTCAAACGTTTCTCTCTAAAAATTACCTGACAATAAAACAAATGTTGTGTTTAATGGAAAAATTAAAAACTTGAAACTTGAATTTTTGAACGAAAATTTGAGAGCTTTAAAATTTTCTATTTATTTACCTCTTATGGAATTTTCTTTTCTCATACTGGATTGTACGGCGTTGGCATTTTGACGCATTGTGGACGCTGGAGTTTTCATCGAAGACAAATCTAAAATATAAAACAATTATATAGAATAGAAAAATAATTAATACGACAATATAGTGCAGTTGTTTTTTTGAACAATTTCAGTCGTGTAATTGTGTTTCTACAATGAGTCAGGATAATAATAAACCTCCGATAAAGGTTTGTTAACCTAATCGTTACTGTGAACTATTTTATTATATATTTCCTAATGTATTTTCCAGTAAAGACTAACTAACAATGTTATAATTTTCTATTTAACTTAAATATTACTATAATAATGTAACATGTCTTGTAATAATTATATCATTGTGAGTAGGAAATTTATAATTGAGGTTATGTTACTGTTGGTTAATGTTTATTGGGTCTATAAAATCTTTGAATATTTTGTACAATATATTTAAGTACTGCTGCGCTAAGTATGAAATTATTTTTGATGCAGAAGTACAGAAGGGAGGAGGAAGAAGACAGTCCTTTAGATACAGATGACGAATATGTGCCATATGTGCCTTTCAAGCATCGTAAGAAACAATTGCTTACAAAATTGGGTAAACTTGGACAGCTAAAAGAAGAAGGTAGCAATGGTGTCGGGAAGAGTAGCAGTGAAAATGAAAGAGATGATGCTGACAATGATGATGGTCAGGTTTGGGGAAGAAAGTCTAATATTTCTCTCTTGGATCAGCATACCGAGTTGAAAAAATTGGCTGAAGGTATATGAAACTTTCTATGAACAAAAGAATTGTAATTTGATTAAAAACTGTTTTATATAAAATTTTTATTGTAACTTTTTAGCCAAGAAGGAGAGTGCTATGGAAAAGCAGTTGAAGGAGGAAGAGAAGATTCTAGAAAGTGTTGCTGAGAATAAAGCTCTAATGGGTGTGGCTGAATTAGCCAAAGGTATTCAATATAAGGATCCTATCAAGACCAACTGGACACCGCCGAGAGTGATACTCAGTCTCGGTGAGGCACGTCACGAAAGAGTAAGAAGAAAGCTTAGGATACTTGTAGAAGGTGATGAAGTACCGCCACCCTTGAAGACTTTTAAGGAAATGAAATTTCACAAAGCAATCCTGTATGGATTGGAGCAAAGAGGTATCATCAAGCCAACTCCGATTCAAGTACAAGGAATACCTACAGTGTGAGTCTTTATTCATAATAATATTCTCTTATACCGCTTTTAATTAGTTAATTGACGCGATGAAAACTCGAAATGTTAAATAATTGCAGGTTGTCAGGACGTGACATGATCGGCATAGCTTCTACCGGCAGCGGTAAAACGTTGGTATTTGTTTTACCTATTATCGAGTTTTGCTTGGAACAAGAAATCGATATGCCGTTCATTAAAAGGGAGGGACCTTATGGTAAACACTTATAACGCTAAATAGATAGAGTAACATTTGATTTATAAATGTACACAAATATCAATCTCAGTGTTCTGTGGTTCACAGGCTTGGTAATATGTCCTTCAAGAGAATTGGCTAAGCAAACCTATGACATAATTCGGCACTATACGAATAGCCTGAGACAAATAGACTGTCCGGAAATACGCTGTTGCTTGGCGATCGGAGGTGTACCGGTTTCGGAATCGTTAGCTATAATCAATAAGTTAGTATTTATTGCTATTATGATTTCTACTTTTTGATATGCTATAAATTTATAATATTCTATTGCATTATTTATAGAGGCGTACACATAATGGTGGCGACGCCAGGACGATTGATGGATATGTTACATAAAAAAATGGTCACTTTAAGCGTGTGCCGTTATCTCTGCATGGACGAGGCAGATCGCATGATAGACATGGGCTTCGAGGAAGATGTGCGAACGATATTTTCATTTTTCAGGGTAATTATTATTTTAAATTTCAATTTTCATATTTTTCATTCAACAAATACATAAAAGCAAATGCTAAAATAATGAAACTTGATTATTACCTTTACAGGGTCAGAGGCAAACTTTGTTATTCTCCGCTACTATGCCCAAAAGAATTCAAAACTTTGCACGGTCGGCGCTGGTGAAGCCCGTGACGATAAACGTCGGCCGCGCTGGTGCTGCGTCGATGAACGTGATACAGGAAGTGGAGTATGTCAAACAGGAAGCTAAAATTGTGTATCTCTTGGAATGTCTGCAGAAGACTGCGCCGCCAGTCTTAATATTCGCGGAGAAAAAGCGTGACGTAGACGCCATCCACGAGTATCTGCTCATAAAAGGAGTGGAAGCTGTCGCGATACACGGAGGAATAGGTAGATATTACGTGAATAATTAAATAAAAAAATAAATGAATAAGATACAAGATAGATCCTTAATAAAACAATAAATTATAAAAGAAACGTACATTAAATGTAAAACAAAAATGCTTTAAATTGCATTAAGATATTAGTCTTACAATTAAGGAACATACCACTTATTTCTCTGTGACATCTTTTTCAGATCAGGAAGAAAGATCGCGTTCTGTAGAAGCCTTTCGCGCGGGTCGGAAAGATGTGCTCGTTGCGACAGATGTTGCGTCGAAAGGTCTCGATTTCGCCGACGTGCAACACGTTATCAATTACGATATGCCGGACGATGTAGAAAATTATGGTAATTTATCGTGATACAAAAATTATAATATCTGAAAAAAGACGGAATAGATGTTAATGTAATTCTCTTAATTCAGTGCACAGAATAGGACGAACAGGTCGTTCTGGTCGCACCGGTATAGCGACGACCTTTATTAACAAAGCGAACGATGAATCGGTGCTACTTGATCTTAAGCATTTGCTGATGGAAGCGAAGCAGAAGGTGCCGCCGTTCTTGCTGGAGCTTTGCTCGGAGAACGAAAAGTACCTCAATCTGGGAGGTAATATAATAGTTGATACTTAATTTCTCTTTTTTTTAGATGACGTTCATTTCTCATCACTGTAATTTATATCATTTTTCTGGTTTTCTTTACAGACGAACGTGGTTGCAGTTATTGTGGCGGTCTTGGTCACAGAATTACGGAGTGCCCGAAATTGGAAGCTGTACAGAACAAACAGGCTTCCAATATTGGGCGTCGCGATTATTTAGCCAGCAATGCCGCTGACTATTAAAGTAATTGATTTTAAAGCAGATTAATCATGTTCATTGTAAATATGTATATACAAATGTATTATATAATCAATTTCTCTTTCTCTGAAGAGAAAGGTTCTTTCATTGGTTTTTTAAAAAAATAAATAAAATATTTCAACTCTATATGTATATATATGTAGATGTTTATTTACTATCCTTTCAAATGCACTTAAATTTTCTTGCAAAAAAAGATTCCTCCGTCTTCGCTAACTTCAGAGATTCGTTCATCTCGATCGAGAAATGTGTTTCGCGAGTGCGAAACAAAAGCTATTCCGTCACCGGGTGATTCTCTTACATGTCAAATCATACAAACCCTTCAGGCCCCTCATAATTCAAAATTCTTGTGCATAATGATAAATTAATCCATCCGGCCTTCGTCAAGTGCCGGTCGTACCGCCCAGAATGGGCTATTAACATCGCAAGCTTTCGCAACATGAAAAAATATTGGACCTGTTATTTGAGCGCCAAGAAAAATCACGCTGACCGAAGAAACTTACCCATCACAGATTCCAGAAAATATATTTTTACGAGGTTTTCACGCTTCTTTCAAAATTATTCACTCCATGTTTCTTTAGAATTATCCGCCTGATTGGTGTTGGAGCGATTATATGGCGCAAAGTGTCACAAAATACAAATACTCGAATTATTTCTTCTGCGTCAATGCGTATCGATGCAAAGCACGCACTGTAATTTTATGTAACGTTTCAATTCTGCAAAATAAGTTTAAATAAATTAAAATTTAATGGGGGAGTTTAATTAACAAAATATATTATCTATATATATTTATTTTATCAAAATAAAATTGTAATATTTTATTAAATAATTATATGTCGCATATTAAGTTTTATACGTTAAGAATTACCTAGCACCGACGATAATCGACGATGACGAGTCGGAATCCAGGCTTGTCCAGGCCCGGTCTCACGAAGACGCAACAACTGCGGCAGGCGAAAAGTGCCGCTTTGTTAAAGGAATATGAACAAAAGGAAATAGGCAGACAGCAGCAGCAGCCGCCGCCGCAACGACCGGTGGAACCTAGCAGGAGGCGTAGGCATGTCGAGCCGAAAAGGGTTGATTTCAGCAAGCCGACTATGACGAAGGCGATGATGGCGCGCGTTAAACACGCGGAGAAGTTCAAGCAGGAGTACGAACGCAAGCAAGAAGAGATGATGCCGGTGCGTAGAGTGCCAAGGAGAACACCTGCGCCAGTCAGCGGTGATCCTAGGTAGAGCCTCAAGAATTACATTGTTTTCTGTAACATTGTTGATTCTACAACTTGTCATTCTGCGCGCTAAACATTGCTTAAGCAGCTATAAATTCGTTATATATTTTAATATACATTTTATACATTTTTAAATTAAAGTACTCGGAAATTTTTTACACACTTTCGCACTCAGATTTGGTAGAGAAAGAATACCGGCGAGACGCGCACCAACGCCGTCACTACCGGTTTCACCCCCCAGAAGACCCCCGCGTCCGCCGCCGAGTAGAAGAGCGCCGGAAGCACTTCCGCCTATACCAGAAAAGACTAAAGAACTGGCGAAGTCCATGAATGCCCAGGTGATCCAAGCCGAGCCGGTCGGTGAGGGCCCGATCGACAGTATCGTGATACCGCCGAGAGCGGTGAACGAAAATCGCACCACTATCGTTAGCATCCCTCAGCCACCTGCTGCCGCCGTTGAAGCGCCGGTGTCTCACGTTGCGAATCGTTCCATTCAAGTGATTAGGTACCTGGAAAATATTTTATTAATGTTATTCTAAAAAAATATCGCGAAATTAAAGTTGGAAAGTTCTTGGATTCTTTTTTTATCTTTTTTCAGTCCACGCGTAAAAGCTCTAAATGTAAAATATAGAAAAGAATCTATATAGTTCAATATATATTTTTTATATACATATTTTAAAAGTTAACAACAAATTAAATTTTAAACTTCTGGTTTCATCAATAGATTCATCAAAATAAATCGTCTTGTGTTAAATCCTTGATGCAAATATTGAGAATTTTGTTTCTCGTGGAATAATTCTTATAAATTTTTGGAATCGATCTATTTTTGCAAATTAATAACGCAACATTAATGATTGTTAATCATGAATATCATTCGACAGCGAGACTCTCGACGAGCAAGATGCGGCAGAAGCTGCCGCAGTGCACGGTAAGTTGGAGGACTTGCAGCACGCTAGACGGGATTTTGTGATGGCCGTCGCGAATGTCGGTGGTAACGCCGTGCAACTCGCAGACGAAGAAAAACCTAGATATCTCTACAAGTAAAAACATTACAAAAGGAAAAAAAAAATTTATATGTAAAAATCAAAGTTGATAAGTTCAGTCAAGAGCAAAAAAAGACATTTTTTCAGCTTTATCACGTTTCTTGGTAATAAAAGCGTCAAAATTTCACTTGATTTGATTGATGTTCGCGTTTAATGCAGAATCCCAGACATCGAGAGTGAGATGTTCCGCGTCGAGTACGGCAGGGAGCATCCGAGCGTCGTGGCAGCTCGCGAATTCGCGCAGAGAAGCATGGCCGGCATCAGGGGCAGAGAAAGGACACGCAGGGCTGAGCAGGAGTTCGAGAGGATAGCCAGGGAGCCGTTGCCGGAGGACCTGCGCTTCGACGTGCCGTTCAAGGAGGAGTTCTTCCGCGAGGGCGATATATCCTGGGAGGAAGAGGGAGATCTAGCGCTCCCGTCCAGGATAAAAACTTCCATGCGCGATATACCGAGACGCGAACCCTACGAGTATCCACCTTTCGAACCAGAAGAGCTCGAGAGATTCTTCGACGTGGAGCAATATCCGCCCAGTCCGCCGCGCGGACCGCCGCCCGGCCGCGAGCATCTGCATCCGGATCTCTGGGAGCTGGAGGATCCCTGGGCCATGTGCGGAGTCTGTCCGCATTTGGACGAGTCCGATCTCATCGATCTCGATAGTCCTTGATCCTTCGTCTGTCGTCTGCGAATGGATGAATCCAGCGGAACCATTTTCGCTTCTGAGAGATTTAATTGAGATACTCTCGATTGTTGTCGGGGCAAGGTGCGACCAAGCTGAAACAAATCATAAGATTTTTTGTTAATATATTATTTTGTATTGTAGAAACGCAGAAAGACAATCAATGAAGACAGTCGACATCTGCAGAATCATCACTTGTCATCAACGTCTGTGTGTTAAGATGCTTCTTTAGATCTCTTGATATCCCTTTTTATTATTAAAAGCGTTCAATGTAAAACTTTTGGCAGTCACAGCAATATATAAACTTTTGTACAAATAAATTAATTTATTCTAATTGCATACAAATAAATTGGCAAATTCTGCAAATTACTTTGCGCAATGTACATGCATTGCGAAAGAAATTGTATAAAAAAATGGAAATCATGGTTTTTTAATATTATATTATACATTTCAAATTTTTTTGCGTTTTCTTATTATTCTCCTAACTCTGTTGTTGAATTTTTAAACTTGCTGTTAACAATTTTTAAACCTGTTCCCCTTTATTTTGAGAAGACTATAACTCTGTAATTATTGCTCTTTTATTTTTAAATTTGGTAATATTTTTAATCAGCTATTTGTGACAAAAATGTATTTACAAAATTCACAAAAGAATACACTGGAAAAAAGATTTTGATTGAACAAATCGTCTGTTAAATTTCCGACGAGCAAGACAGATTCAGGAATCTATCAGAATTACTATTAATGCAACAAGATTCTGGCAGATTCAATTAGAATCTGGTAGATTCAATCAAAATCTAGTAAATTCAATCTGATTATGACCTAATTCAGATTCTGGTTGAATCTACCAGATTCTTGATGAATCTACTAGAATCTTGTTGCATTAATAGAAATTTTGGTAGATTCAACCTGAATCTGTCTTGCTCGTCGGAAATCTAATAGACGGTTTGTTCAGTCAACAAGATCTTTCTTCCAGTGTATATTTAAATAAAACTGTGTTAAAATTAAAATTTAAAATTTATGCTAAATATTTACAAAAAATAAAAAACTGTAATTCTCACAAGACTGGAGCAAGATCTAGCAAACAAGTAAGAGATTATATGGGGTTCTATTGTATTATTATAATGATACATCATTCTATTAAAATATTCCACAAGCGTTATGTCGAAGAAAGTAACGGTTCTGTTTCGATAGACACGCTCTAATATTTGCGAAATAATAAAGTGACGTTGATTCCTGACAACCTATTATTTCGTATTCTTTGCAACATGTGCGTTTTGTGTGTCGATAGCATGTCACGTTGTGATAGTAGTAGTCTTTTTGTGGGGAGCAAAGTTTAATCATGCTAGAAAACTTTGTGCGAGAGTACAATGTCAACCGAGTACTCTTGTCACGCATAGGTCTTTGGCCGTTTCAAAATAAGATAGTGAGAAATCTGCTGCCGGCATTATGTTTCCTGCTCGAAATTAGTTACTATTCATTCGAGGTATCACACGCTAATCTAAAGACTTTAATCTCAATGTGTCTGATCAGTCTTTGAAAAGTTTTATGAATATTATTAGTTTTATTGTATAATATATAAAAAATGTAATTTTATGGATACTGATCTTAAATGTGACGCAGATATTGACATTGCACGATCATTGGGACAATGTGCGAATGATTTGTGAAAGCTCTTATCAAATTGTCTTGTCGACGTCTTTTATCGCAAGGATACTGAACGAGCTCAGGAATCGCACTAAGGTAAGTTCTTAGACCTCCATTTACGTGTTACTTTTGTTTCTCTTTTTTTAATTATGATTATTTCGGAAAAAGAATTTTAAATGTATTAAGTTGAATTGTTTTTACATTTTGTCGTAATCAGTTGCGACGTTTGTACGAAACCATTAACAACCATTGGAATATATTTACGGACGACATGGAAATCCAAATATTGAAGGACTACTCCTTCATGTCGCAAATGTTCACTAAATGTTATTCAAGTGAGTACGTTATATTGCAACGATCACATCCTTAATTATTGCCTGCTCATATAATTATGCAATAAAAAAGTCGTATAAAAATTACAAAAATATTTAACTTACTAAAGCAACACTGTAATCCATATGTATCAATGTTAAAAATTACATGCTTAATAAACGCAAATATTCATTATACAATATTAGTGTCTATAACGTTAATTGTCTGTAATTATTAATGAGCCAATTCTGATAATATTTCTAAGATATCCTATGTAATAATATTATTAAAGAAATAATATACATATATATATATATATATCTTATTATTATACTGTCGAATAACATTGCTCGTTATAGATGAGTTAATAGAATGATAATAATTTATAAATCGATATTATTGATGAAACAAAAAACAAATGTATTTTTTTCGTGATATTGCAGCATCAATGTATACCCTGATGTCTGGCTTTATAATAGTACCATTAACACCGGTATTCTTAGATATTATATCACCTCTTAACGAATCTCGGCCACGATTCCTCGCGCTTGAAGTTGAATTCAGGGTGGATAAAAACGAGTACTTTATACCAATTTTTTGTTACACTACCGCTATAATTGTGGTGGGTATCAGCATTATGGTGAGTGTCGATGCAATGCATATTACGTGCACCGCTCACGCGTGCAGTTTATTTGCGGTTGTCAGGTAGATATATCTCAAATATAACGATAATTTGAACATAAAATTATCGTTAAATTATTATAATTATTCTGTGCAAAAATTATATATTTTGCAGCTATCAGATTGAAAATATAATTTTGAAAGTGAATAATAATAATAAAATGTACAAATATGACCGTCGCACAAATACGAAAGTTGAAATATCGAGAGAGGAAATGTTGTACCGGGAATATATTAAATGTTTAAAAAAACATCAACTTGCCATTGAGTAAATAGTATTTTTCAATCGTTTTTTAATTGCCACACTATAGAGAAGATACCTACATATAGTTATTGCTATGCGAGAAAAGTAAAATATTGTTTTTTTCCCACAGATTTGTCGATTTATTAAAGTCATCGTATGAAGGACTTGCGTTATTCTTATTAATATTGGTTATTGCAACTTTAAGTCTAATTGGACTTCGGGTAAGAAAATGTTGTACCGGGAATATATTATATGTTTAATTATAAGTAATTAAGTTATTATAAAATATAGAGCAGCAAATTATTGATATAAATATAAAATATTTTTTATTAATCTTAATTTTTTTCAACAAAAACTTTTAATTTTCAATTTTTAATAGAAATAAAGAAGTTGTAACTATTTTAGATAAAATATTATTTCTACATGTGTGGTCTATGTGGTTTGTGCATCAAATAAAAACTTTATTTTGGATAGTTACATAATATTTTTATATGTGTTATAGATTGTATATGTGCTAGGCCAATTTGAAGAAATGGCAAGATTTTTATTTATTATTATAGGGGCTTTAATGAATCTGATGATCTCATGTTACTCCGGTCAAAGATTAATGGACGAAAGTCAGAATATATTTGATCGAGCGTAATAATATTATTTTATATCCTCATAAATATTGATATATATATATAAAATTTTTGGAAATTTTATGTTGGAAGTTTTGATAACCTTTCTTTGAATATAAAATTTAATTCAATTTTAATTTAAAGTATTCTTCATTAAATATTATTTTTTATTTAAATATAATTCTTTTAATTGTAAGATTTAATAGAAATCATCATTGAAACTTACTTTTGCAGATACGCAACAGAATGGTACAACTTTTCGCCTAGAATAAAATCTCTACTTATCATAACTCTTTATAGAAGTAGTGTACCATGCATTTTAAAGGCAGGTAATATGGTTCCGTTATCGGTAACAACTTATGCTTCAGTAAGTATTTTGTACAAAGTACAAAGCTGCAAACCTATTTCTAGTTTTGATAAGAAGTATTACATATACGTATAAAATTACTTATTACAATCGTATTCAATTGAAGGTAGTACGAATGGGCATGTCTTATTTCACAACGTTTTTATCACTCAAAGAGTAATCACTGAACTTTCATCTGTAGTAGTTTTTTTTACCGATGTGTCTTTGTTTAATTTTATTATCAATTAATTATAGTAAAGAGGCTTATAACATTATATAAAGTCACTCATTATTAGAATTTCATACTCTTTCAGTAATTCTTTTACACTCATATTTTACTATCTAGTAATTATATTATAAAATTGTCATTACTTACATAATGTATCAATGTCTACATAAATATTAAATTATATGCTGCATATTTACGAAGCATAATTCCGATCTTTGCTTTTTTATGTTTTTTTACGAGTCGATAAATATGAATTTCAGTATGTAATAAAGTCTATAATATTATTCGCATATGTTATTGCATCAAAAAGTATTCATTTTACTAATCCAATAGAATCCAGTAGAGTTTAATATTTTTAATTGAGGTGCTCTATGATATTAAATTCTTCTTCTCTAAAAATATTCAAAATTTTATTAAAAAAATTTTTTTGTCTCCCTCAAATAAATAAAATTAAACTTCATGTTCTTTAATTCACTTTTTTCCTAATTTCAAAACGCACTCACTTCTTTTCGAACACCATCATTTGGAAACATTCTAAGAAAGCAGCGGACAGAATTCTATGAAAGAAGCACTGTCAATAAAACCAGAAGACAAGAAAATAGTACGCGCCTTCCTATTGTTCCTATTGTCGCACATCTACACATACCCTCAATTTCTTGCCACACAATATATTGCGCTATATCATTACTATAATACCCTTTATAAAAGTGTCTGTCTAACAAGTGTTATTTTAAAGATGGGAAAAGTAGTGTTTTTCCTTAGACACACTTTAATATCTGTGAAATGATCGACACTGACGATTTCTGACAACGCACAATTACGTGCTTCTTGATCCAGACGGGACTTGGGTGCGCCGGAGAATCAATAGTGCGCGTGCCACTATATTATCGTAGTCTTTCGTCGGAAAGTAAAAAATAATTATGTTGGAGAATTTTTTGCGAGAATACAATGTCAACCGGATACTTTTATCGTTGGTAGGTCTTTGGCCGTTTCAACATAAGCTCATTAGAAATTTGTTACGGAGCTCCTGCCTTTTGATCGAAATAAGTTATATATGGTTTGAGGTAATGCATACGAATAGACACATTATAACTCAAAATACGTTTAATTGGTGTTTATCAATTTTTATCATGCTAATAATCAACGGTTAATAGAAGTGTGACACTTTTTAAATAATTAATAGTTAAATAATTGAGTAAAATATAATAATTTTCCAACATATGAATTTATATTCCATTTTACGTATCACAATCAACGTTTATACGCAGATATTACTGTTATATGATCATATGAACGATTCGCAACTGATTTTTGAAGCCCTGTATCAATTTGTAATTACATTCTCTTTCCTCATAAGAATAGCGAACGAGATTCAGAATCACGACAAAGTACGTTTTTATAATGTGTTACTTAATTTTTTTTCAACTATGTTTCTTTCGGTTAAACTATTTTAGATACAATAGGTTCAATTATTTTCGTATTTGTTGTTGTCGTCAGTTGCGACTTTTGTATGAAACCATTGATGATCACTGGAACATATTCACGAATAATATGGAAGTACAAGTTTTGTCAGAGTATTCTACGATATCACGAAAATTTGCGAAATATTACTCGGGTGGGTGTTTTACATTGCAACGATAATATCATTAGAGCTATTATCTATGTAAGAGGTATCTCATGAAAAGTTGCTGAAACTAATTAGCTGTCATTTTTAAACGCACATAGCGAGCGAAAGAAATAAAATATTTTCTAACAGAGGACATTTTGCAGTTTTATTTACGTATAAAGACAATATTTTTGTCATTAAATAAACGTTTATTAAAAAATGCCAAATATCGCTAATTTTATTTGGTATATATTTTTGATGTGTGCATCATTAGAATTATAACAAAAATTAAGTCGATTTTGGAAACTATAACTGTAACTGTAATTTGTGTTGCATAAAGTTTTTTCATAGTTTCCAAAAGTGACATAATTTTTTTGTTATAATTTTGACAATGCGCACTTCAAAAATATAAACCATTAAAATTAGTAAAATTTGGCATTTTTTATAAATGTTTATATAATAATAAAAATATTTCCGATTGTTTTTAGTTTATATGTAAATAAAAGTGCAAAATATCATCAGAAGATATTTTATTTTTCTTGCTCGCTATATGCGTTTAAAAAAATGACAGATAATTAATTTCAGCCACTTCCCACGGAACACCCTGTATATATAGAATGTAAAAATATAATAAAAAATGTTATTCTTTAATATTCCAAGATTAAATAATTTAAATGTTTGATATCGAGAATTAATATTTTTGATAGAAAGATGACATTCAATTAAATGTTTATTAATGTCTTATCGTTGCAATTCGATATTATTGATATGAACGAATGACATTTCTCTTTCTCATAATATTACAGCACTAATGTATCTCATGATGTCCACCTTTATAATACTACCATTGACACCGGTGTTCCTAGATGTTGTATCACCCCTTAACGAATCTCGGCCGCGAACCTTCGCCCTTGAGGTCGAATTCAGGGTGGATAAAAACGAGTACTTTTTACCAATTTTTTGTTACACTACCGCTATAATTGTGGTGGGTATAAGCATCATGGTAGGTGTCGATGCAATGCATATTACATGTACCGCTCATGCATGCAGTTTATTTGCAGCTATCAGGTAGATATATCTCAAATATAACGATAACTTAACCGCATGTGACGATAACGTAATCATAAGAGAATTATTGATAAAATTATTTAATGCTAATTATTCCCCACAAAATTTATACATTTTTCAGCGAACAAATTGAAAATATTTCAAAGGTAAATGATAACAATAAATTCAATAAATATGAATGTCATGAAAATATGAAGTTTGAATCATCGAGAGAAAAAATAATATATGAAGAATATATTAAATGTTTGAAAAAGCATCAACTTGCTATAGAGTAAACAATCTTTTTTCAGTTGCTTTTCAATTGTTATTCTATATATAAAATGTATAAAGTTCATATAAACTTATAATCTGTATAAAAAAAAACTCGAATATTATTTCTATTTTATAGATTTGTTGATAGATTGAGATCATCCTATGAAGGGCTTGCATTATTCATGTTAATTACGGTTACTGCAACTTTAAGTCTAATCGGAATTCGCGTAAGTATTAAGTATTCATATAAGTTGGTTTACAAGTTGTAAAAGTATATTAACATAAACGGCACAATGGGAAATTGCATAAGAAATTTATATCTTACATTAAATTTCAATTTTCTTTTCAATGCAAAAATCTAAACATTTATCTAAAATTTTATTAATTGTTGCATGCTATAAAATTAGTGTTTTTATCTCAAATAAAAATATAGTTATAAATTCGAATGTGATTTACACTTCTGTGTTGTTGTAGATCATCTATGTGTTAAACGAAATAAAAGAAATAGCAAGATATTTATTTATTATCATAGGAACGTTGATAAATCATATGATCTCATGTTACTCTGGTCAAAAATTAATGGATGAAAGTCAGAATATATTTTACCGAGCGTAATTATTATTTTGTATTCTATTTTATATTTTTTCACACATGTTGATATATAAAGAATTTTGAAATTGCATGCCGAAAATTTTGATAACACATCTTGAATATTTTAAATCTACCTCAACTTTTATTCCAAATATTTTATTAGATAAAATTTGCAATATAATTAATGTAAAAAGAATTAATAAAAAAATCGAGAATTATTTCAATATTGCTAATTATTTTGCCATACGTTTACTCATATCACTCATTATTAATCATAGTTTAAAAAAAAATTTTAATTTTTTATTTAAAAATAATACTTCTGAAAATCTTATTTAAATAAATATTTATATTTATCCTTGCAGATATGCAGCAGAATGGTACTATTTTTCGCCTAGAATAAAATCTCTAATGATGATAATTCTTTACAGAAGTAATGTGCCATGCAAAATAAAAGCAGGTAATATGGTTCCGTTGTCGATAGCTACCTATGCTGCAGTAAGTATCGCAAAGTTGTAACTTAATTTGCATAGTAGTGTTATATATACATATAAAATTATTTACGCATCTGTATTCGATTTAAGGCAGTACGAATGGGCATATCTTATTTCACAGCGTTTTTATCACTCAAAGAGTGATTACCGAATTTTCAAATTCTAGATCTAGTTCTTCACCGCTATGTCTTCGTTTCATTTTTGTCAATAAATTGTAGTAAAGAGATCTACGACATTATGAATAAAACAACTTAGAATTTTATTTAATTAAAACCAACCTTTTGCATGCTTATGAAGTATAATTTTAAGTTTTGCTTTTTCATATTAGTTGTTTTTTTTTTAGTGAATAATTATGAATTTTAATGTATAATAAAGTCTATATCTTATTACTTACGTATATTAATAAAAATTAAAATATTTACTTTGTTAATTCAATAGAATCCAATAAAAAATTCAAATGTTAAAACATTATGATATGAAATTCTTGTTTTTATCAAATCACCGAAATTTTTCTAGATTTTTTATATTATAAATTTTTTTCACCTTTGAATTAGCAGAACAAAATATCAAATTTGACTTATTTAATTATTTAATTAATTCTTTATTCTAAAAATGCAATTAGTTAAATTTTTTTTCAAATACCAAAAGCTTTTAAATAAACTAAAAAAAATTCTAACAAGAGAGCAACGGAAGACAAAAAATTAGTATGTGCTGTCTAGTTGCTATTGTTACTCTCATTTTTTTACTGTATACCATGCTATATCATTACAATATATATAATACATCGCTTTACAAAAGTGTCTAACAAGCGTTACTTCAAAAATGGAGAAAGTGGTGTTATTAATATATGTGTAAGTAATAATATAGACTTTAACTTCGCTGGACACATTTAATATCGATTGACAACGCATAATTTCGTGCTTCTTGTGACAGATGCGACTGTGCGCTAAAGAATCGATGGCACACACGATATGTGTGTCATTATATCGGTTTTGCGTCGCGAAGCAAAGAATCATTATGTTGGAAAATTTTTTACGAGACCACAATTATTAACCACATATTTTTGTCAAACAGGTTTTTGGCCGTTCCAACATAAGCTTATTAAGAATTTGTTGCGGTCTTTCTGCTTTTTGATTAAAATTAGTTACTGCGCTTTTGAGGTAATCTATTATATGATTTACACGATTCAGTTATGTTCAAACTGTGTTCCATAAGTGTTTAACAAGTTTTCCTACGCTATAAGTATGTATTAGTTCTTCACCACTACGTCTTCGTTTGATCATAATTAATAAATTTTAGTAAAGAATTTGACGATGCTATTTATTCCATAATGCAATTAAAATTTTTTTAAATTAGTTTCTTTTGCACTTTTTCTTAAAGCATCTATTATAATATTCATATTTCATTGTTTAATTGCTGTTACAAATCGATTTATTATAATTCCAATTCTTGCTTCTGCATAATATCTCATTGTCAGTATTTTTAACATTCAAAAATAGTTTTTCATTAAATCTTGAATTAATTTTTTTACAGGATATGTCTCCGAGATGTTCGTGAACCTAGCATATCATTTTCCAGCAGATCAAAAATAAAAGAGAGTTCTTGTCGCATGCAGTCGAGTTTTATAGTTCCTTATAGTTTTTAGTAATAGTTCTGGTGATTTTATCCAAAAAAACACCAATCGAAAAAATGATCTGCTAACTTCCCGTAGCAGATCATTTTCTAGCAGATCAAAAATAAAAGAGAGTTCTTGTCGCATGCAGTCGAGTTCTATAGTTCCTGATAGTTTTTAATGATAGTTCTGGTGATTTTATAAAAAAAAACACCGATCGAAAAAAATGATCTGCTACGGAAACGTAATAACTTCGTATAGCATACATTATACGAGGTTATACGAAGTCGTCAGAACTCTTTGGAAAAGCAATGTACTTGCCCAGAACTACACGAAAACTCTTTAATTCGTAATAACTTCGTATAGCATACATTATACGAAGTTATACGACAAAGAATCATTATGTTGGAAAATTTTTTACGAGACCACAATTAT